CTTGTTTGAATTTAAATTAATTTTTTGAAAAAGTTTTAAAAACCAATTCACCCTCTCTTGGTTAGTTATTATTGGGCTATAAATCTCTAACGTCTTTTAACCTAAGTTTAAATTATCTAAAATCAAATCGAAAATGAAAATTATTGTACAAGATCCACAAATTCAACAAGGTAAGAGAATCCTTTAGGAGAACTTCAACCTCAACTCTCTCTACATGTACTGCATTATTTTTGGCAAATGAAGACATCATCTTACCCATCACGTTATGCATAAATGGACCAACTATTATATAAATTATCTCAAATAGTAGCATAAACAACTTTCTTCTTTCTCAACTATGATAATTAAATGAGTTCAACTCAAATTGATCTTTCTTCTTTCTCAACTGATAATTAAATCAGTTCAAAGTAATCTCTGACCAAGTTAAATGAGTTCGACTCAAATCGATCTTGATATAGGAACTTTGAGAGTTCAAAATCGACTCCTCACCAGAGTATGAAATGATTAGCTAAACCTTCCTCTAGATGCCAAGGTCCCTTTTCCCCTTTCCCCTTTCGACTAGTAGCCAGCCCTACGAGTGTCGAGCACCGACCAGTAGCAACGAATGTTAGGCTTGTTTGGTCCTATAAAAGTGCATTACGAGGTCGGACCCTCCAAGACCGTATAGAACGGTCGAGAAAATCAGGTCATTACCCCCCTAAAACACAATCGAATCGAAAGCACAACCACCACCACCTACCCATCTATCTTAATGTTCTATTAGGAGGCTTTCCAAAGGTTTCCTTATTCAATCACCCTATCATTGTTGACCTATACTTTTCAAATTTCTTGCCTCGTCATCTGACACTCCACACCACAAAACCCACTCCTAACTACAAGTAATTGCCTAGGATCCCACGTTGCATTCACCCCAAATTCTTATCCACAAAGAACCATGGTGGACTCATCTCAAACAGAGCCAACATGGCCGGAACTTCTCGGCCGCGACGACTGGAATGGCCTCCTCAACCCTCTAAGCCTCAGCCTCCGTCGCCTAATCCTACGCTGTGGCGACTTCTGCCAAGCCACCTATGATGCCTTCAATAATGATGAGAACTCCAAGTACGCTGGCAGCAGCAGATATGGCAAGAACTCATTCTTTAACAAAGTCATGCTTGAACCAGCTTCTGATTATCAAGTCTACTGTTTCCTCTACGCAACTGCGAAAGTCGACTTCTCTCAAGCTCTCTTCTTGCATTCCCTGTCAAGAGAAGCCTGGGATCGTGAATCAAACTGGATAGGATACATTGCTGTGACGACCGATGAAGTTAGCCGAGTACTGGGCCGTAGGGAAGCTTATGTCGTTTGGCGCGGTACCTCGAGGAATTACGAATGGCTTAATGTGTTGGGAGCTAGACCAGAGTCAGCCGAGCCATTGTTGCGCCCTAAACCGTGGGAAAAGAAGAGCCCAGATGACAGTAGCAGTAGTGATGAAGATGAGAATGAGCCAAAAGTGATGAACGGTTGGCTTACAATTTACGTTTCTAATGATCCCAATTCATCTTTCACAAAATTGAGTGCAAGAGAACAGCTTTTGGCAAAGATCAATGCTCTGAGAGAGCAGTATAAAGATGAAGATCTGAGCATAACATTAACAGGACATAGTCTTGGGGCAAGTTTAGCAATTTTATCAGCATTCGATATAGTCGAAAACGGGGTCACTGATATCCCAGTTTCTGCTATTGTTTTTGGTAGTCCTCAAGTTGGGAACAAGGCTTTCAATGAAAGATTGAACAAATATCAAAATCTGAATGTGCTGCATATCAAGAACAAGATCGATCTGATTCCGCATTATCCGAGTCGATTACTGGGATATTCTAATACTGGAATCGAGCTGGAGATTGACAACAGAAAATCTCCAAATTTAAAGGACTCGAAGAATCCGAGTGACTGGCATAATTTGCAGGCTATGCTGCATGTTGTGGCGGGTTGGAATGGTAGTGAAGGGGAATTTGAACTGAAAGTGAAAAGGAGTTTGGCTTTGGTGAATAAGTCCAGTGCCATTTTAAAGGATGAGTATTTGATTCCAGGTTCTTGGTGGATTGAGAAGAATAAAGGGATGGTTCTTGATCAAAATGGAGACTGGATTTTGGCACCACCATCGGACGAGGATCGACCAGTGCCTGAATTTTGAAGTTGTCATGACTCCATGTCCTCTTGAACTTAAGGAGTTAGGTCGCTCGAATGATCGTGGTCGAATGCTATAAAAGGTTTTAGCCTTTCTACACTAGCCAATCCTACGATATATATTTAAATATTGTGCAACTGCCATCTGGTATCCAAAACTTTAGATCTCTGTTCCTTTTACTTTGGTTGGAATTTGGCAATAATCTATAATGTGCTTTTCTTGCTTTACTTTATCAAGAATGTTGTGGAATCAAGTCATGTTTGGCTAAGCTTATATGTAGCTTATTTAGATCTTTTATTGAGCCTATGCATCGTGTGGTAAACAATATTAGTGATCATCGTGTGTTTTTATTCTTGAAACACTTTTTTTTACACGAGTTATCTCATAATCATACATGCAAGTAATCGTTATTTATAATCAAAAAACTTCTTAACACGTCTCTCATATCCCATATAGTCAAGAATTTCAACACTCCTAGTGAGCTCTAATCTAAATTTTGAAAGAGACGTTCTGACCAATCACCGACGGTACATACCCTGGCCACATGAACAAAAAGAATGTGAGGCATTCTAAGTGAGATGTCCAAAACAAAAGGAACGATGAGAAGACTCGACGAGAAATCTATAACATAAACTCGTGAATGATCAACTTCAACACGTACAATATAGTTCTATACAATTTCTAATAGTGCTTTCGAGATTGCCACCGACATCTCATGACCCTAAGGTGGAAGAGTTACATCAAAAAGAAGAGATGTCACAAGTCCATTAGTCCATGGCCCTCTTGGTAGGGTCCAAGCTTTTCCTGGCAACCACACTTGGACACTTGATCCTCGTCTCTCAACGCCAATGTCGTTAGCTAAAATTTGAATTATTTCATTAAAATAGAAAGAAAACAAGCTCGCTTAATTGTCGAAGGATTTAATCAAATTTGTAGACTGGATTAGAAGTAAATTTATCATATCTAATCATTATATGGCACTTGGTGCAATTAATTCGCCATTTTAGGAATTAAGAAAATATTAGTGAAATTGGAAATAAGCTAGTTTGCTTACAAATAATAAAGCAAAAATATATATACTTGTAAGTAAAGAATAATTTATAACATAAAATTACTTATAAGTAAAAAAATAATGCCTATTGGTGTTCCAAAAGTACCTTTCCGAAGTCCTGGAGAGGAAGATGCATCTTGGGTTGACGTATAGTGCGACTTGTTAGATATATTGGGTCATTTGGGATTTCCCCCACTTACAAGAAAAGTTTAATTATAAGTAAAAAATCTAGTCATCTAGTGATGACTCCATACCCATTATTATGGATATATATATCAATGATAAATTTTTCTACAACAATAGAAAATTGTCAATAAGTTTTATCACAAATGGCCATTTTTGTCAATAAACTAATCTAAAATAATTTCGTTAAAATTATAAGTAAAAAATCACTTATAAAAAAATTCAACTATAAGAAATTTAGTGATGACTCAATACTCCACAAATTTTTTTTTTTACAACAATAGAAAACTATCAATAAATTTAATCGTTTATGACTATTTTTGTCAATAAACTAATATAAAATAATGTCGATTTGTAACGTCAATGTAAGCCGTCGACAAACTAGAAAGCTTAAAATAATATCAATTTGCATGAGTTTATTGTCTTGGGATTATGTGAACAAATCAATATTGATGTCTTAAACTTTTTCTTAGCATATTTAGACATTTTATACTACATCTTAATTTCCACAATAATCCTTAAAACCTATTCATTTATTTCAATCCAAATACCAATTGATCAATATGTCTAACCCTAATACCTATAAGAAAACAAGACATGAAAAAAAGAAAAAAAGAAAAAGGTAAAATTGGTATTTCATGATAAGGTCAACAAGTCTAGTAGAAGTTAAAATAAATAATGTTTGACAGCTTAACTAGGTGGACATGCAACTAGGTCCAGAACTCAAATCGAATAAGTCTTGTGTACATTAAATCTGTGTTTGGGACACATTCTTTTGAAAGAATGTATTATTGAATAGTAGATTGATAAAGAATGTGTGGTTAAAAATGAAGGAAAAGTTATTGATGTGATGGAAAATATTATTTTATTGAAAAATGTGTGATTAAAAATGAGTAGAAGAATGAGAATGAAAAAAATAATGGGAACCAAACAGGGCCTAAGACTTACACTCGTCTCACAATGGAGTGTGGGGTTCGCGATTTTTTAAATTGCGGCCCTCACCATTGTGAGAGGAGTGTAATGCATGATGTACACTCAAACATTGTTCAGATATTTTGTGTGTACATCAAGCATTGTTCAAATCTTTTATCCCTAAATCGAACTTTATAAGTTGGGCCCATAAATTATTAGGTCTACTTACCACAACATGAAACAAAAAAATAATTTTATTAAACTTAAAACCAAAACAAAAATATGATGAATTTATTAAACTTACAACAACATAAAATTACAAATCATATTGCAATAATTACACCAGCTTATAGACATATGAGGAAAAAAAACAATGATGCAAAATCTGATGTCAACAAGAAATGACATCAAGTCGACCTCAAGTCCTTGATCAATACAATTGGACGACAATCATTACCCAAAACAAATGTACAAAAACACCACTGGTAAAATAATATTTGATTTATATTATTTTATTATTATTTAAAATAATAATATATTTAAATTATATTATTTTTTCCCCGATTTTTCCGTGCGTGACACATGAAATCTTCTAGAATGGCGGTTGACAGTTAAACTACATGTTCAAAAATTTTTGTCTGTTGAAAACACAACTTTTCGACTGTTGTGTCTTTTGGACACAACTTTTCAACATCTACAAATAGTCCCATACCCCGGTGTTCATTCACTCCAGAATCAATTTTGATTTTATTCTTCGTCCGAAATTATTCATTCGTCCCTGCATTATTCATATTTTGCAATCCAACCTCGAAAAATTATTTTCGTGCATTTTAGTCCTCCAATTTTAGAGAGATAAAAGCGTGAGTAGGTTCGTCGGGTCTTGTAATTTGTAGTGCTACTATTACAAGTCGAGATCGTTGTATTTTGTGAGACGAGTGCCGAAATACCGTCAACACTAGTGCGAGACATTATCGTCTTAAGGAGAAAGAGTCGATTTGCTTGTAAGGAAATTTTAGCTATAATAGAAATAGAAGTTGAGTCTTCGTATTTCGAATTGATACATATGAGTTTCAACTCTTAAATCGAGATGATGGGTTTTGAGGGCAGACTTTAATTGCGTAATTTTTTTAGTTGGATCTGGGTTTTGACCGTCGTGCGTGAATGCTTACAAATATACCAAACAAACCAAAAAAAAAAAAAAATTTCAATTTTTTTCAGACTTGTGAGCCCCGAATATTTTTGGCCTGAGAAAGTCGCCTCTTGAGCTTCATATAAAGTTTGCATTCAACTCGACCATGAGTTGATTACATATTTACATGCCTAGTTTCTTAAGTTTTGTGTAGTCATATTTAACAGCTTAATTAGTTGTATATGCAACTTGATTATGTAGTCATTTTATACGTCGTTTCTTAAGTTTTTTCATGTCGTATTTGAAATTCAACCAGTTTAACATGCAACTCGATCATAGATTTAATTACGTCTTTTTTAAAAAAAATTGTCTAATCACAACTCGACCTTAGATTTGATCACTCATCTAGTTTTTTGAAATTTTTCCCGAATAATCTATCCTCTAACTTTTGTCTCATTTTCATGTTGAACAAATACATATTTGAATTCCTTTTTCTCTTCTGCAATTACCACAAACGTTATTCTTTTTTTCTTTTTTTGTTTAATTATAAGATAATGAAATTAAAAATTTCTAAACAATTTTCTCATTTTTCGAGGGTAAAATATGAATTTCATTCAAGAAACATATCGATTTACAAGATCAACAATAAATTTTGAAATCTGTCATACTCGAATCATATCGAAGGCGAAGAGAAAGCTCATTGAACAAGAGTGTAGGTAACACTATTCTCTTTGCACCGTATAAAAGAATAAACTAAAGACAATAAAAATGTTGTAAATAAACCATACAAGTCATTTATCATTTTTCACATTTTAAGTCCTGTTTGATATAGATTCTTTAAATTTCATTTTTTTCAAATTCATTTTTACTAATTTTTATTTCTTGCATCCATTTTAATTGCAATTAAGGTTTTTAATTTTTATTCATTGTAGCACTTATGTTATTGACGATTTTTCATGTTATTCTTATTCTCAAACTTTTCATTAGTTAATACGCGTTGTATTTGATAACGTAAAACAAATTATTTTTAACATATTTTTAAAAAATAAAAAATATGAAAAAATATTTTTCCCTCATTTCAAAACATAAAAATAAAATATTTTGATGTAAATCATCATCAAGGACGGACATAATAATTAATGGAAGGTTGAAGATAATAATTCGACAAAGATTAAGGAGTTTCACTACAATTAAAATGTAGTGTATCAAATAAAAATTGTGATTATAATTCTCAAAAAAGTTTATGTCAAATATGCCCTAATTGACTTTTAAGAAGAACAAAATCAAAAAGAAAACAATGGCATTTTAGTAATTATATTGCTTAGCAAGGGTGAATATATTAGCGGCCAAACACTGTCAGCTTAAGAATCCTCCGAGCTTCGCCGGAGCCCCCAAAACCTTAATATTAATCTACACACAACGCGATTGATCTTCCTAAATTTCTCAGACCCTAAACCCCAAAGTGATTATCTGCTCAAAAGGTAGAATTTTTTCCGTTTCCTCTCTATACATACACCTGTTTGTGCGTGCATGTGAATTCTTGTTTTTTTTATATATAAATAATAATAATAATAAAATTCAATTCAAGTTTCGTTATTATTTCTTTCTTTTTTTCCGTTCTATTTACGTTCAATTCGGTCATGGATATGTAGTTTATAAAGCTTAATTGATTGTTCATAAAAATTAAGACCCTTCTTTTTTGTTGTACTGAATTTCTGAAGATTACATTTT